AGCATGATGATTATTTAAAGAAAACCTATTAAATTCAATTGAGTTTATTAATATTACGTCAAATCACAAAACAGGTCATCTCAGGGCACTGAACAGAAAACATTCAGATACTTAAAAATTCAATTAGCAAGTTATTTATCTAAGAAAGGAAGTGTGGTCAATTTGTCCTCCATCAGTCTAAGCCTATAGCAGCAGAACTACGGGATAACTCAGGAAACCCAAGCCAACCCTAAATATAGGATTTATGAAAGAGTAAAGAGTGGATGAATAAACCTGTCTGAAAATATGAGATGATTCATTAGTATTAACTTTTGCTCTTAATTAAAATAATATCTAAAGATTCTTAATATTAGTAGATCAAATTTATAAGATTTAAAAATATATATATGTATATTGAGTCTTATAAGCTTGTCCCATTTACTCTTGTGTAATAATAATTATCTAGCACACTCTGGACATGTTCCAGCCCATGACCATCTCAGGCCTCAGTCAATGCAAGTGGAGCAACTCTCCATCAATTTATGATTTTGTCCAGTTTTTTTTTTAAATATTTTGAATAAATAAAAACACTATTTACACATCCAGAAATCCGACAAATTCATGTTGACTTCATTATTTTCAACTTAATTTTTATTTACAAACTAACATGGTAACATTAAAAATATCTGAGAAATTCTGGCCCACCTTTTCTCTCCTTTTAGTTGGTTCAGTTCTATTAATCCCGTACGATGCACCAGACAGCTTTGAGTTGTGGGAATAAGACATAAAGAAAGTGAAAAGTGTTTTTCTTTCAGACTGTCAGTAGATAAACTGGTGAATGGACCGAGCGTCTTTCTAAAAAACAGGCTACTCAAAGAGGTTTGCAACACAATCTGTGTCCTCATTTTCCATCCACACACACACAGTGTTAGGATTTGTGGTCGGAGCGAACCCAGAGTGCAGAACAGGGACTCAACTCGGCAGATATACAAAAATAGGTTTTTAATGTTAAATGAAAAGTACAAA